TAGCTTCGTAAAACTGCAATATAAAAACGTTCGACTATAAAAAGGAAGAGAAGAAAAAACAAAATCTGCATTTACGTATGTATGCGGATATTCGAAGAAGAAAAATAATATTTCCTATTTTGCTTTCGAGAAATAGCTCGCACAGGTAAAATATACCTTTTAAAAAAGCATGATCGATTAATCTGCGTCTGTTTTAGCGCCAACTTAATCTTTAATCGTATCATATATCAGATATCATTTTATCGACTTAATATACAGGTGTCAGTAATATCGATGAAGAAGTAAGGAGACGATTCGATAGAATCAAATTACTTATATTAGGGTTATTCGCGTATCGCTTCGTGTCGCTGAGTCGAAATAGCAAGCGGGAAGCGCTCTTAGGATTTTTGATAACTCGGAGAACAAGTCCGTGTGAGCGAGCCGTCACATCGGATTTCACATTAACAGTACGCGGTGTAAGTGATAAAACATCTCTTTCTTTTGAATAAAAGAGAAAAAAATTCGGTATAATCGCCTCTGCGGTTACATCAGCTTCACATATATTTTTCTTTGTAAATTAAATCGCGCGTTGTAGCCTTCAAGAAGACGTATGGCTCTATTAACTGCGCCTGGTCTAACGTTGAAAAATCATTTGGTGAGAATTGCCGTAAAATGCCTAGATCTCGGTATGCAGGTGTGCATGATGATTAATGATCTTGGGCCCCGAAGTGTCAAAGAGTGTCGAGAGCATGCAGCTACCTCCATGACGGAGACAATGTGTTCAGCGACCGCTGTCAGCGGTGCTTCTCGGTGGGCACTCATCGTGTGTGATGCGTGGCGCATTACTTGAGACGCACGTCAGCGACAAGTATACCGACACACTTTCCGCGCGATCTCAGTTCGGTAACGACCATTTCGATGACATAAGACCCGCCGGATCGACCGGGGCACGAAACCGGGGACGACGACTCGGTAGGTTCCTAACGAGAGGGGTGACGTCGATCGAAGAAAGAGGATCCTCTCTCGGAATGATCGTCAGAATGCAAACTCCTGTGAGGTGGATCGCTTGATTACGCAACGAGGAGGTCGTGCCGGATAATTGAACGAAGCGAGAAGACATAGCGTGCCCGTTCCGCTTTGAATCGTGATGACAAAGAGAGTGGTCGTGTAGACCGTGGCTGCATTTCTGTCATCCCCCGGCGCGTCGGCGCAATTACCGGAGGATTTTCTAAATATAACGTTTCAATTCCTTAACCCGGATTCCCGATGCGATTGTCTTGCCGCCGTTACCGTTTCAAAATTTTCGAAAACTTTTTTTTCGCACAATCTGTCGAAAAGGATTCAGGATATAACGGCGTGGCTATCGAATAAATCGCTTTCCCCCCGAAGCAACGTACATTAACCCAGCACTAGCGAGCCGTCCATCAACGTACAAGTCCGTAGACTGAAAGATCAACAATAAAAAAGCAATCGTGCTATTTCCACGTTTACGTACTTCCGCACTGAAAGTTCCAATGGTACTAAATGTAGCCGGAGCAATAAAAAAGAAAAAAAAAATTATATAACTCGCACACAGTCTCCCTCCGCGCAACCTAATCTTCCCCGCAGTTGCCATTTTATGTAAAAGCCAGCGTGCTTCTCGGCCGAGCCGCAAATCCAACCGCACGACAGCGCGTCGTTATCGAGCGCCGCAGCATCGCGTCGCGACGCCTCGGAACCGTTCGCGCTCTCCGATTAGGTGAAAAATCCGCGCGGCGCGGATAGTTGCGACGCAGATTCTTATCGATCACATTTAGAGGCGTGCAAGTGGCGTCCCGCGCGATAAAAATACCCAGTAGTGGTATCAAGAAGAAAAGGTCACACTGAAACCCGGGCGCCCTTTTCTCCACACGTATAAAACGGACTCGCCGTCGCCGTCGCGCCGAGCGCTATCGTCTTTAAGTCACAAAAATTCACCCCACGGGACCGTTCGCACCTCTGACTCGCTCCAAGATCTACGCGAAAGCCGAGAGAGAGAGAGAGAGAGAGAGAGAGAGAGAGAGAGAGAGAGAGAGAGAGAGAGAGAGAAAAGAGGAAAGGGAAGAAGAAAACGAAGAAGACAGTCGGCAAAGGGAAATGCTCGTCGTTCGCGGTGTCGCTCTTCGCCGACCGGCCCTCCACGTTCTCTTCTTCTTCTTTTTCATCATCATTATCATCATCCACTCCTCATCCTCGATGTCTTACCCCGACGGTTCTTCCGCCGTCGCCGCCGCCGTCGTGCGCGCGCGCAAGGAGAGGACTTACGAAATCGACTAGTCGCGTTCGTTCGATTCGTGCCGCTCGCTCGCTCGCTCCGTTCGCGCGCGGAGAGCATCGGCGTTTTCCGCGACGCGCAAAGGTCACCGCAACAGGCCGCGCGCGCGCGAGCTCGCTCGCTCGCTCTCGGGAAAGAAGACGCGAGTCACCGGCGCGTACTCTTACGAGGGGAGGTCAGCTGAGGTAACCGGTAACCCGGCTCTTCCCTCTCGCCTCTCACCTTCGCGCTTAATGTTGCAAACTGATGCTCGCTTGTCTTCGCTAATACTCCGCGTCGCGTTGTGCCGTGATAGTCTCACGCGGAGGTCCCCCCAATGAAAGGTCTGAAATCGGGACCGGTGATACCGCTGAGTGACACGCGCGTCACGCAAGGTTACACAACGTGTAACCGTTGACGAGGAGGGTGACACCCGAGTCGAATTGCGGAAAAGCGGCACGCTCGTTTGATCCTTCATCTTCATACGTTCGCTTCTCGCTGATCCTCGGGCACACCGCGTTGTTCGTTTTAACGTAACGAGTTGAGAAATACCTGTATTTCGTCCGTCGAATCGAATCCTTCAATCGCACGGAGAAAAAATTTCACAACATGACAAAATGTAAATTTAAGTCAACATGACAAAATGAGCAAATCAAAGTTCTCGTTGAAAGAAACGGGATGTCTGGTTCTTAGCAGCGAATCTGCCTCGTAAGAATTGGACATTCTGTCTCCCTCGAGCAAAATGCGTTCGGCTCGTCCATGGAGACTCAAGCACGAAACTTGCTCCGTGTCGAGTCTGTAACTCTCGGGAGACTAAATCGGGGGAGGACGACACGTAAAAATACATCTCGAGCGGCAATGCGACATGATTATTATGATAGCGCGTGGTGAAGCGTTACGCGTCGTAAAATTGAAGTTGCCGACGGTCGACGGACGACGAGCGGATAGCAGATCCACCCGTTAATGTCTGTATTCGCGACGGCGGCGGCTCATCGCGGAGACCCCGGATCGGTGTTCTTTCACCGCTTAATGGCCGCTTCGATTACTTCGCCGTAGGGTGAATAAATTACATTCCCGTAAATCGCCGGCGCGAGGTTGGAGTTTCATTCTCCGTTACGAAGGGATACAGTGTGTAAAAGCCTGGGTGTTTACGTTAATTCCATACACACGCGCGCGCTCGCGCGTCTTTCACGAAATATCAAAGTAATCATCGGTGTGTCTTTAAAAGACTCTTTTCTGTGCTCCTGCGGATTATTGTGCAAACTCTCTTATCTGGAAAAACATACCGCCGTATTGTGTCATCGCGCGGCGTAAGCGGCCACTCTTCCTCAACGCTACGGAATCACGATCGAAATCCACGCGCGACGTAACGCTATCAGCATGTTACACTTGCAGCGTATTAACGCGCATTACCTGTCGCGCTAATCACATCAATTACCGTACCGACGTACGTCGCGTACTACACGCCCGCGCCCGCGCCTCGCCTCGCCTCGACAGGAAAGGGATTTTTCTCGCCGAGACACCCGGATTTAAACGCGCGCCGGCACACGACTAACTAACCGGTTTAACGGTTCCAAAGTGCCAAACGAGCGATCACTTCCCTCGTTACCCCGTAAAATCGGCGATACGAACTCAATCGACGGACGGAGGCGCGCGCCGCGGCCAAGACAAATTCCCTGGACCGCGCGCGAGAGCGAGGTTTCACCGAAAGGTTAACGAAGACCGATAGCGCCGCGAAACACACCGCGTTCGACAATCCGCGAACGAGAGGCGCGCGAGGAGCATCCACGGAGCGGCGCAACGTCCCGCGAAGCAGAAGAGACCCAGAAGAAGCGCTCGTGATCGTCCTACCACCGCCCTCCCTCTAATCCGGCATCGCCGCCTCGACGACGAAAAAGAATATCGGCGGCGCGATATCGCGATGCAATCATCGCCGCGGTCGGCCGGTCGGTCGGCCGGCCGGCCGGCCGACCGGCCTGCCGCTCGTTCGTTCGGAGTGACGATGAATCTGCATTATTCAGCGAACGGCGCGAGCGCGAGAGCGGAGTTCTCGTGGAAACCGAAGGCGCGAGCGCGTACATATGTACGGAGAGGTACAAGCCCGGGGTCGGGCCCCGTCATCGCGAGCCTTGCGCGTCCGGGGCCACATCCTGGGGCCGCGCTCTGCAACCCCCCGCTGATCCCGAGCGCCTTTTTCGATACCGATTATTGCGCCGATCGCGCGTTCCCGATACGGAACGGCGCGTCTAGGATAGGCCGGCGCGCTCGTACGAGCTCGTGAGCGCGCGTGGGAACACGCCTTCCTCCTCCTCCTCCTCCTCGTCTTTCTTCTCCTCCCCTGTCTCTTACCCCGTTGCGCGCCGCGTTCTTCGACGGGTTGGTCGCGCTTTTCTACGCGAGCATTCCCACGTCGGAATTAACGCACGAAAATTAGCGCGATGATTCGGCTGGGCTGGGACGCGCCACGGATCGCGGCCTAACGACTTCCTGCATGCGCACGCTGCGAAGAAGATGACGACGCGACGGGGCTGGGTAGAGGCCGGGGGGGGGAGGATCTACCTTACACGCGAGAAGTCGGAACCTGCGCGACCTGCGGCAAGGGGGCAGGGGGAGAGAAGTATCTTTCGCGAGTTCGCTGTGATGCCGCCTTGCAAAACGTCACAAAAGACAGAAAAAAGGCGGATTCGCAAAATTCGTGGAAAAGGAAAGAGTGGTCGCTGACATTTAGGCAGAGATATACAATTCGAAATGCGATCGGGAAAGTTTATTACAGGAGAGAATCATCAAGTCAACAATGTAACATCGTGATCGGTTCGAAAGTTGTTCATGAATACAGTATACATACATGTGACGTCGTGACTGCGTATTTACAAAGAAAAAAAAGAGAGAACATTTCTGACAGCGGCTACACAGTCTCTCGCGCGAGAAGCGCGAAATTTTCCCGCAGCCCGCCCGACATTCCCGCATTCGTCGCGCCGAGATAGCTCCGTAATCATCATAAGCGCGTTTTAACGCGAGATTTAGAAAAACACACTTCAATCTGTTGCACGAGATGAAAAAGGCAAGGCCTATAACACAAAGGCTTTCACCGTCGTGACTCCGGAGGGTACACCGTGATATGCATGTTCTATCCCGCATAATAGAAGCGCGATCCGGCACAGACGAGCGTTTCGACTTCTCGTTAGCATGCATATTCCTCGCGAAATATCCGCGAACTCGGTCGGATCGAATAATGCGCCGCGCGCTGCGCTCGAAAGCGCGGAGATCGAAACAATCGTTCGCGAGGAAACGCGGCAGATCTCCGTGGCGATTCTCACGTTCGTCGACGCTCCTCGAAGCGTCGAGGAGAGCGCCGCCGCGCTGGGACCGCGCAGGTGTGAGAATCTGGCGGAGGCGCGTTGCGCAGAGGATGCCGAAGAGCTACGTGCGCGAGCGTCGTTCGCGCGGTCTTCTTGACCAATTTGACGTTAATTAATCTCGCTCCGCGACATTTTGCCGACTGGGCGACGCGCGCATCGAAACACACGATGAGTGCCTGAGTGAGTCACTTGAATCACATGTAACGTAAGAATCTGTCATCCGTTAATTGAGAAAGATTAATTTTGCCGATACATCTTTGCGTTGTCGAGAAACTCTCAGGATTGGTATTAAAAATAACGCGGTGCTTTGTCAGTTTCCTTGTTGATTCCCGGTAAAGTCACGATTATATCGTCGATGATGCGTCGTGAATCATCATTACGCGCTCAAATGTTCCAGATGTACCAACGCGATGCGGGGGATTTTGTCATTCCTTGATTGAAAGAAAGTGAGTTTACAGGAGTGCCTTCGATTTACTTTCATGTAGTCGACAAATTCGCAAGGTTCAAAGTGACCACACACGTCTTTCTTTCTCAATATCTTTATCGATTCCCACGGAAGTCGGGGACGTAAAGTAGCCGCGATCACGCGCGCTTGGACATATCAGCCGTACCGAGACGTACATTTTCGGCCAAACGGCCAAAAGCAACAATAACAACAAGCAACGTGTCGGCGAGCGTTGCTGCGTCGCTTTCGCCCTGCGTAGGAATAAATCCGCGCACAGGTCGATCATTTCACCGGCGCCTGGCGGCACGTAGCTTTTCAAGCATTCTGCGGAGTGATAGGCTCTCGACGGCGATAGGTGCGGATTAGCGACGCGCGAGAGCAACGCGATCGCACTAACGCGTGTAGGACCAGCGGATACTGGTGCAACAACTTTCTCGAGTGCGGCGGTGGAGCCCAAAAAAGAGCAAGGCTCCGAGTACCGGTGCAGACCGGGGGGAGACCGCGAGCTACCTGCTCGCCGGTCTCCTCGAGGATACCCGCGGGATTGCGTAACGCGCCGCACCGCGCGCGCGCGATCGGCGGCACAGCACATAACAATGCCGGTCGGCCCGGAATCGATTTCATAGGGAATTGCCGCGGAGCGTGCTCGGAGTACACCTTGCGAGCGGGCGAGCGAGCGAGCGCTCACATACCTGTCTGCGCGCGCGCGCGCGATTTTTCCGAGTCTGCTCGAGAGCGAGGACTTGATTCGCGTGTGATGTAACCTCGCTGAATCTCCCCGAGAGTGCGATTTTTTGTCCGGTCCGCGTCGACCGCGGCTTTCACGCGCGAGCGCGAATGTTCCCGCGGAAACGCTCGCCTTTGCTGACCGACGCGACGCGCGGCTGGCGTCGCAGCGCACCCGGAAAGTGCACCCTGCGGAAATTGAAATTGTCGCGGTGATGCGCCGAGGTCTTAACGCCCGTTGATGCAGAGCCGCTTTCACCGATGACTTTTCGATTCAATCCTTAATAATAAAAATCTTTAATAAAAAGAATAAGAAAAAAGAATTTGGAAGTTTATGTAAGTCGATGTGAACGAAGGCAGGCTGCACTGTAATATCGGTTGCTTGATATATCGCTCTTCTTGTTTTTTCAAGTGACGTTGTTTAGCAATCGTAATAAACGGTAACGTCAAGTACGATAATGCGCGTCTCTATTCTCAATTAGCCGTTGAAAACGTGCAAATTGAAGGTGAGCTGCTCGCGAGGTCGATCGCCAATCTGTGTTATACTCGAAAATGCGTTTTCGCTGTGAGCAATTCTCAGGAACGCGTACTTGACTGACGTCAATTGGGAACGTGTTGCATGAGGATAATGGTAGCCGATGAATAGGAGGGGGGGGTAGCAAATACACTCACTTGCAGTTATTATAACACATTTTATCAAAATCGAGCGAAGCACGGACCGCTTTGAACAGACAGTTCCGATTTCTTCGGCGCTCCTTTCTTTCCCCCTGCGTCTCGTCGATCGACTCCGCGAATATCGCGAATCACACGTGCAATTGTGAGCGCACCGCGCACGTGAAAGCACCCGCGCCCGAAAAAGAGATGGAGAGAAAGAGAAAGAGAAAGAGAAAAAGAGAGAAAGAAAATGAGAGAGAGAGAGAGAGAGAGAGAGAGAGAAGAGAGAGAGAGAGAGAGAAGAGAGGCACGTCGTCGCACTACAGAACGTTAACGGCTACCTGCGCGATTCTAACTGCGGCGATCCACTTTGATAATTACAACGATGCGAACGGTTGCCAATGGCGAGTATTTTCAGGGAATCCAGATCGTGGTAGGAGAGCGCGGTACGATAGCGCGCAGGGATTGAGGGTGGGAGAGGGCAGCGGAAGAAAAGAAGGAAGCTCCTCACGGAGGATCCCGTTCTGCAAATGCCAGTTCGCCCGCTCGCACGCACAGCTGATTATCGATTAATATAGTTGTTGACTCCACGCTTGCGAGAAGCCTCATTGAATTATCCTTCCGATCGAACGAACAAATCGCACGTGGGTAGCTTTCTCTATCCATCTATCTCTCTCCTCGTCTATCCGTCTCTCTCCCTCTCCTCTCTCTCCTCCCTCCCTCCCTCTCTCTCTCTCTCCCCCTCTTTCTCTCTTCTTGTCGGGTGTATTTATTTTACGACGGGACACGGACACGGATGATGCTACTTTTGGCGCGCACTTCCTCCTTCATATAATATAGGGTTACTTGCAGCGCGTATGTACAAACGGCGGTATCGTTTCAAGTTCAACTTCAAAACGGAGGTTGAGATCTTTTTCTGACACATGTTTTTTACCCGTTGAGACCCGGTTACAAAGGGGAGTCTTCAATTCTCTAAAAAGGACACAAATTGTGTGAGCTTTTGCAGCTGGTCCTCAGTCAGGCAGACCTCGTTCGACAGATTGCACTCGTCCTCGTCAGGCTTGCGAGGTTGCACCATAGCGCCATCAATGCTCCAACCCCTGTCAATTGCGGTCCGTCGCGCTTCGTCCAATGAGAGTCCGGTCATTGATGCCAAGACCGTCAAATCCAGTGAGGAGTACGCCTTCGATATCAGCTTCATTATCCGTTCTCGAACCTTGTCTACAAAAATCGCGAACAAACACAGGGACTCCGTTATCTGCAAGCGCGAAGGCATCCTCTTTGCTTAACGAAAGACGTTCCGAGCAAGGAACTTCATTGCTTACAGATTCCACTTGAATAATCGATTATCGGCCGGTGTCGTAATCTCGATAATTTTAGAGCCAGACGATGGACTTAATATATACGAACCGATTAATTGCCGTTAATTGCGATAATAAATAGTTTGGACGAGTTAATCTCTGGAGCCTAAAGTGTCTTCAAATAGAACTGTAAACGAAGGGAGCTTCTTTGTCACAACTAATACAAAAGATAAAACAGTATGTACGATATATATTTGTGCAATAGTATAAAATATAAAAATAGAAAATATATACTCCTCGTATGCTCAATAAACGATAAATATAATTAGCGGAAATCACAAAAAAATTATGACACCAGAAGAAAATTAATTATTCGGAATATTAAACGGAGCAAGTGTCGATGACCAATTTCACCTAATTGTTATCGTTTCCGAGTAGTCGAATTAATTCGATTTACCAAATAAAAATAGCTGATGACACAGTCCTACCTTTAAGAGCTGTCATTATGTCCGTGACGTCCTCACTCCAATCCGCGTTGAGAGCCACGTGTACCGCTGCCCAATCGCGTTGCCACATGCGCTGTCCTACAAGCCATATCCGCCCGAGTTCTTCGTTTGCGGCCTTCACGTTTGAGGGAATTCGCTTCCAGAGATATTTCGCGTTGCATCTGCGACGTCGGTCGTTCATTCAAACAGACCGATCGATAAGAAAAAAAACCGGCGCGCCCGGGCCGCCGCGCGAGCGATGCACCGTACGAAAATAAGATTGGTCGCGGCGAATAAGTCGTTTCGCGGCTTGATATTCATCAAATATCTCATATGACGTATGTTCTCGACACGTTTGTGCTCAAAATACAGGTTTAATGCCGAGAAAAACGAAAATAATCTCGGACTGCATCCACAAACAATTGTAGAAAAAGGAGCACAACGCGAAGAGGCAAAAATAGTGCAGTCATTCACGAACGTAAAGGGAATTGAAGTGCCTTTTTCCAAAAATATGGCAACAAGCAAATGGTTTTCAAAATTTTACGATACTTGACCCAAGCTGTGTTCTAATACTCACTGCCACTATTGAAAATTTATAGCATATGTAACTTATATAGTATATGAACTATATATTTTCTGTAATGACAATGAATATCGGAATGTAACCATATAGTAATGTGAAATGTTATTTTTCTTATAAAATTCGACAACTCCAATATTCTAAGTGGAAAAGGAAGATCGAGATCTTCGAGAAAAAAGTCAAGATAAAACGTGTAACAAACAGAACAATTTGTTTCACTAATTAAATATATTGCAAATTTAAATATCTCTGCAGGAGAGATACATATCAGAACCTATTAAAAAATGTCTAATTTATCTTCTCTCTCACTGCAGTACTATAATGCAAGTACTGCAGTGCTATAATGTGATAAAATAAACATAAATATTTATTAAAATAGAAGCTTCATTATAATATTATTTCAAAATATAATATTACTTCAAAATAAATATTATACTTCATATATTGATAATGACAAGTCAATATGATTAATAGTTTAATCAATACCATTTTAGTGTAATATAACCCGTAGTATGAAATGTGCATGGAATATTCTATTTTGTCATTGACTTCAATAAATTATATACAGATGCACATATAGCGACATATACTTATAGCGAATTTTGAGGCAATCTTTTATCATATTAACATATATCAATAAATCATATATATCCTCTTATTCTTCATCGAATTACAATATAGATGTCAAATATTGCAACATCAAAATACTTCATATAACTTATATATCACATAGATATCTCATAAAATCTTAATTCGTACATTATATATCATAGGGTTATATCTGATATGACAGACTTCTTAAAACAGTCGTATATAGAGAAATCCATTCAAATATCAATTTAAAAGATGAGAACATAGCATCTTTGATTGGGAATAAACGATATAGCAATGTAATGAAAAATTCTCAACTCACAGATCATTCTGGTAGAGGTACGCTGCCAATAATTGCGCATAGGTTTGTGCACATGCAATTCCAGTTGGAGCCTGCAACAAAAAGAAACGAATAATAAGTTGATATCTCCTTTACTTGAACACCTTATCGAGTAAAAACATACTTTATCATCAACATAAACTTCACAATAGGAGTGAGTTGATCGATGACACTCAGTATAACCTATAAGCATTTAGCTTGAAAGCTTGAAAGTTGAAGCTCACCTCTAATTCGGCTCTTTCCAATTCATTAAGTAACTGGCCGAGATCGCTGAGTACCATCGTCGCTCTATCTTTTAGATGAGAATAATGATAATAAAAACGTAAAACTTCGAAAGTGCGTCGACACCGAAAGCACAAACATGAAGCAAGATGAAAACAGCTGAGCACGGATGTAATAAAGAGGCGCGATGCAGAATAAAGAGACATGCAGCGCCATCGTACGGCGTACATATACACCATTGACAGAATAAAAAAACATGCAGCGCTATCATACGACGTACATACATACCATTGACATACAAAGTAAAGTTTGTCAGTAATATCAATAATATTACTGTCCGCGAATGATAATTATGAATTATAATATATATATATACAGTATATCATACATTTATATAAGTGTGTATGTGTATGTGTGTGCGTGTAAAAACACTCAAAAATTGAATCTAGTCTTTAGTTTAAAGAACAAACAATCTAAAGTTACGATTTATATATGCTATGTATTATAAGTTTATACTTGTGTGTATATGTGTATTGGAAATTCTTTATACCTCATTTAAACTTGTGAATAGAATATATAATTTTAATGCAAAGTTGCAAATACTTTCTATCTTACTTTGTTTATTTTCTTACTCTCATTCTTTTACTTTGATTGTCACTGTTTTCTCTCTCTCTCTCTCTCTCTCTCTCTCTCTCTCTCTCTCTCTCTCTTTCTCGTCTCTCTTCATTTTATATTTTAGTTCTTTCATTGTTTCTTATTTTATTAAAACCTACCAATATTTTGTCCTCGGCAAGCCAGAATCGCAGAATGCAAACTTGAAATTTCGAATCGTCATAATATGATGAAGGCATGACGTTTCACTCGACACTCTCGATAATAATTTGCGCTCGAGACTTTCGACGGCTCGAGAGTATAACGATGCGTAGCAGTTTGAGGGTTGAAGTTCCAATCACTATAATATAACAAACGTACGATACATTGATCGATACTTCTGATAAACCGTTACGCGAGATATTCACTTCCGATGGTTATCTAACCATATTCTGTCACGACACACATGCGAAATTTATTTTCGGCACTCCCGGCGGCGATAATTTGTACGCGAAACTCATTTTCGGCGAACCGAGATCGCGTAACCGGAATGCGTATTCTCTGAAGATAGCTGTCGCCATTACAACAGTTGCGATTCTCGAAGTATTAAACGCACGAACTTCACTTGGTACTTCCAACGGCTCATTCTACAATACTCGCTTCTAATGACCATTCAATAATACCTTATCAAAACATGAACAAAATTCTGACTTTATATGATATGTTTGACAGTAATATGCGCGCAAAATACTTTTTCGATTAGTTAAAAGGATAAAATGTAGTGATTGAAATCTTCAACTACCATAATTGTGAAACCTTACACGACGCTTCCAACGCTTGTGATAATTCAATCTACACGATATTTACTTCCAGCGATTACTTATGACGATATACTTTGTTAATCGTGCGGTTAAGACTTACGTGCAACCGCTTCCGATGACGATGATTCATTTGTTAACCGAAATCGCAGTAAATACGGGACGGTTTTTCATACTTGATCTAACGCATCGCGAGCTGCTGCAGAAATGAACGAGCATGCGCGATGAAATGCAGGTTGTCCAACCTATTGTTGTTTAGATCGACCATCCGGGACTGTAGTGTCTTTATTTTCAAAGTAGTGTATCTTGATAACGGATCAAAAAACTTATTATTATCTTCAAATATTACGACTCGATGTTGAGTTAAATGACTATTATTTTTAAATAATGTGGGAGGATAAAAAGCAAAAGTACTTCCTTTCCTTAAATAGTACAATTCAAAGACGAATCAAACAAACTTTCATTCTTCGAGTATAAAACTGAACAGAGGGTTACACGTAAAGTTTTTCTTGATTTGTTATAAATAATAAAATCTTTCTTTAGTTTGATAATAAATATACCATCGAACAATGAAAATTATTATGATACTATTGAAAATCTGAGCAGAATAGATTTCAAGGCAATCAAAATTAATTACGTACATAAGGATTAATCGAGTTCGGAGATTTCGAGAAGATAATCAACTTTTTAACAAAAAATACGAATCGAATATTTATTTGTAATTCGATTATCGTCCATTCCTATGTTAAGCCTCGATCGTACAGTGGCATTGGAGATTCGCCTTAACAGGCGCTTAGAATCAGCATTAAGAGAGAGAGACGGAAAGAGTATATGTCAAATCTCTATGGCCTTCCTGTTTGGCAACCTGTCATCTAGGAATGATACGATAGTTGTAGCGATATTGGACAGTTTAATTTTATCAATTGTGCAGCACAAATGCAATCAATGCCGTGCGAGAAACGAGGATAAGTCCACTATGTAATACATCGAGTTACGATATAATTTTGAATCCGTATTTTGCGATTATAAACATTAACCCACGCTTACGCTCCGTTTTATCAGCAAGTCTTCCGTCATGAATGCTTAGTGAGTATCATTCTTTTACTTAAATATCTCCGTTCTGTAATACTCGTTAAGTTTGGCTTACGCTTATTTTGCTAATAAATGTTTCATGCAAGAGCAACAATGTACTAGAGATCCTGTATAGCAAGGCCATTATTTCCAAAACCATCTAACTATATCATAATCAATATGGTAAATTATATATCTCCGTACCACTAATAGACATTGTGTAAAATTGATCTATCACTCTTACTTGTTGAATATAATAGATCTGTTTTTTATTGCTGAACATTACTGGTGTATATTTTCAAAACTTAAAAAGAAATAAATATATATTTAAAACTTTGTGAAAAAGAGAAAAAAGAATATCTAGTGCAAACTAGTACAAAGAATGCAGTAATAAAGAACAGACCAATTATCAGTTGGTTAACAAAACTTATAAGAAATGTTTTTATGTATAGTAACAGAAGTGCACCAGGTATATCAGGAAATGCTTTTGATTGTTGGGTTCAGAAGTCTAATATGCATGATGATTCCGCTATAACAAAGATGCAACACCAATTCTGGGTGACAAAGCAGGCTTTGTCCCGAAAGTTGGGAAAAAAAGAAGATGAATGTATAATTGCTTCAGATGCTGAATTGGATGCAAAACTAGAATTGTTCCGTAGTATCCAAGAATCCTGTTCATACTTACAGAGAGTTATTGATAAATACCAAGAAAGATTGTGCAGTGCGTTATAATACAATTTCTAATACAAAATAATATATTAACTAGTATAAAATAACATATTAACCATAATATTGATATAATAACAATTGCCTTTAACATAGCTTTAATTAATATATAATAATATCTTAATATAAATGTTTCATTTATATAGATTTAGCTCAGGAAGAAAATGCTATGGGACGTTTTTTGAAAGATGCTGGCAAACAGGATAAGACTCGTGCTGGCAAAATGATGTCAGCTGTTGGCAAATCTTTATCATATTCTGGTCAACAAAGACTTGCATTGAGAGCACCTTTAGGTCGATTATATCAAGAAGTGGAGACATTTAGGCAGAGAGCTATTGAAGATACATTACAAAATGTGCAAGCAATGGAAAAGGCTCGTACAGAATATAGAGCTGCTCTGTCATGGATGAAGAACATTTCTCAAGAATTAGATCCAGATACATCCAAACAATTGGAAAGATTTAGAAAAGTTCAAACACGTGTTAGACAGTAGGTTTTATTCTATATGTATAACATGCACAAAAAAACAGAGCCTAGTACATATTTATGTGAGATATTATAAAGCAAACGTATTTATTACAATCTAGGGGCAAAACAGCTTTTGACAACCTGGCTCTTGATTGTCTCCAAAAAGTTGACTTATTAGCAGCAGCAAGGTGTAATATGTTCAGTCATGCCTTAGTTTTATACCAAACGACTCTTCTGAATTTTACCAAAAAATCTGCACAAGCTTATTCTACAATAGCAAGTAGCTTTAAAGGCTACCAGCACTATGATTTTACAGTCGTACGAGAACTAGCTGAAACTTCTAGTAAATTGGCGCAAGAAACTGGCGGTGATGACGATCCAGAAGACAAGGACAAGTGAGTTACAAAATCACGATAAAGAGAATATTATTTTTCTCATTATTATTTTCTCTTTTATTTTCTCTTTTAATTTTTAATATTCTTTGTAGATTACCATTTTTCGACATGGACTATCATGACGACATTGAAGAGGCTCAAGAAGCTGCTGCAAATTCAGAAAATGCATCAGAGAAAAATAAGTATGATGAGAAACTCTTGGACATAGAGAGCGAACCAAAAGATATATTGATAGGTTTAGATACTATCACAGATTCATCAAGGAACGGCATTGTGCACAATACTAATGACGCAGAGAATGAAAAAAGTCTTGAAGAATTCTTTGGAAATTTAATCCTGGAAAAAGGTATCTGCGATAGCACTGGACAATCGCTTAAGAAGATTGAAGAAAACAATCATACTGAATTCAATAAAAGTTCTGAGGAACAAAAATTGGCAATGGATATATTCGGAGAGTGCAATACAAACTTCAGTCTGGGTGACTTATCTTCCTTATCGTCGGAGGCTCGACAACAGCAGCAATCGTTAAATCTATTAGCCTCCGAAAGCGCAGCGCTTTTCGACGAAATCCTAAACGATAAGCAATGCGCCAATAACAGTGATTGGGAAGGAATGTCGAGTGATACTTTTCTACCACCAAATATTTTGAAGCAGAGTCTAGGGGATGCAGCACTAGGTATGGGACAGAAGAACAGTACGACAACCAATAACACGGATGATAAAGTAAGTACGATTTATAAAATAAAATCTAATAGTAACAAGGTAGATCTTGCGGGGAATTAATGTAATAACTTTTTTATAGAAAAAGAATAAGACTGGAAAGCAAAAAGGTAACTCGTGGTTGGATTTATTCGCTGAATTGGACCCATTGGCCAATAATCCAATGGAGAATCTCTCTGGTGATAGTAATGCTTCTGCTTAATACGTATCGTATTTTAATGGTACATTATTCTCTCTGATAAGATCACTTGATACTTATAACAAAGAAAATTAATCAAGCTATCATTTATCGACGAGTATGATGATGATACAGTGAGCATTTAGTTCACAGCGTTTTCACTTCGTACATTTATATCAGTATTTATTAGTAAGTTTTTAAATTTAACATTCCAAGATTTATTTTTAGTGAGGTTATAAGAATAAAAAAATATTCGAATTGTATGATTTTTCATATAAGCTAGATATACTTATCAAAGATATGTAATGTTTGTTAAACATTATGCTAGTCATGTATTTTTTTCAAATATATTACAAGAGATCTTCAAGATAAATAAATTTATTATGGAATTCTAGTAATTCTGACGGGCATGTTTAAGGATGTATGGAAGTATATCATGTGAGTGTATTTGCTTTCTATTTATTTCAAGTTCTTGTCCCTTTAATTCTTTCTTATTGCATACGACAATTCGTGTCTGAAGCCTCTGCTTGTAAGCTAACGAGATTAATACATATCAAACATTTCTTTCAATATAAGCGAACGAGTTACACTGCGCGCATTGTGTCTCTCTTTCTCTCTATATATTTATATATACTTAAATTAAATAAATATACGTCGAACAGATTACAGGCATAGGCTCAGAACCATCGGTTTGTTCGCTTTGCTTAGAAGTTTCGAGGAGCACTTATACGTCAACCGAGAAGTGATCACAGTCTTAACACTAAACTCGTAATGTATTTCAAATATAAAAAAGAGACTTGAAGTCAAGACCCAATCTTCCTTGTCAATACATTCGAAGTTCAAGCATCGTAAAATTGTGCCAAGGCAGTCTTGACTCTGAAATAAAGACAGTAATGATGATATATTCGTACGCAAGAAATTTACGATATTTGATAGTCACCGCTGGAATACGACAATAATGTATCATGATATTTATCTCTCGTACTTATCAAACAATTGAGAGTCTTTCGTGTGACGTAGCTGCTGCAAAATACGATAAAGGCCTAATTCTCTTAGACGTGCTTGCCGTTGCGCAGCACCGGGTTCCTCTCTCCAGACTAGGTTGCACACACAGAAAATCGCTGCAACTTGCAGTTTCACGTTGCTATGCATCTAAACAGAACGTATACTAAACTGATGGCGTAAAACTGATGGCCGTGGAAGCATTCATATAAGCGACAAAATTATTAAACCGATAGATAGAACTCGAGCACGCAGGTAGTTCAAATAATCTAACGCAATTTCAGAATCAATTTGTGCTGTGCGAAATTATTTTTTATCTTTATCCTATCATAAACAAAACCGTCCATAAATATAACGCTACTTATTTATACTTATTTATAATTCCAAGGCTCTATCTATTAATTAGATTAAGAATGTACGATTGACGTAATATTTGTGATAACAGCGTACTGTACGAACCATATAATCCATAAGTTTCTTAAGCACGTCCTCATTAGCCATGATATGATCTCTGGCTCGATCACCATCTGCAACATTTGCTAAGATGCACAGAGCCTGTTCTTTGACGTCTGCCGGATGCTCCGGGTCTTCCAGTACCAATATAACTGCCTGCATAACATGAGCGGCATGTTCGCCCATAATGCGGTCTATGTGAGCCTTAGTAGAGAGCAAATTTCGCAAGAGACCCAGCGTTTTCATGAGAACTGCTAATTCCGGATCAGCCAGGAGACGAAAAATCTGATCAGTACCCAGGCACGAGAGTATCTGCGACTTCACTCGTTGCTCCGCTCGAAAAGCCACATTCATCAGCGCCCAAATGCCATTCAATCGGAGTGCCGGGTCGGGTCGTTTAGTGAGAGAACACAACAACTCAACTCCGCCGGACTCGAGAATGGGCTCTTTACTCGGACTAAACTCCAACAGTAAGTTACATAAAGTGCTCGAGGCAACAGTTAACAAATCATCTTCACTTTCGCCTCTACCTATATTACAACGAATAATAATAGTGTTAATAACAATCTATAAAAGTCGACGATTGAATACTAATAATAAAAGTTAATTGTAAGCACTAATGTTTTTATTCTTTTTCTCTTTCTCTGGAAAAATACTCTTACAATGCAAAAATTAATTATATACTCGTCATATCCAGTTATACATATGAAAAAAAAAAATACTATTCCCCATAAATTCTTTACAAGTGCTTCATAAAAATTTTATAATTCTTTATAAAAACTTTATAAATGCATGTTCTTGAAAAAAAAAAAAAAAAACATACAGCAGTGCCTATCCACCTGTCTATGCCTAGGAATACCCACTAAGTCGTTTACTTCTTTTGCCAAATGTAAACAGACCAGATTTCCCAACTTGAGAATCGTAAAGTCTCAGTTTTCTTTTTTTCAATGCGTGTACTTTCGTTCAACTATATACCTGTCTTATATAGAATAGATAATTTACATAATAATCATAAGATAATAATTTCTAAGCATTTCTTTTTTTTCCTTCTTTTTGACCTAAATGTTGATTTGAAACTAAACATATATATGTCGTACCTTACATGCAATATGTACATGCAATATATACATGCAATATATACATGCCCTCAATATTTATTATATTATAATGTTCATTGCAAGTGTACTATCATTTACCCTCCAACCCCTTGTCTGCTCCGTGTAACAACTGCATAAGCGGTCTCCACACTGCATGATCCTGAAATGTAGTTCGAAGCTGGTGTACACTCCTCGACAAAGAATGCAAACATCTAACCGCGGCTAACCGGACGCGAGATCCGCCAGGATCTTGAAGACCAGACACTACTTGTTCCATAAGACTTTCCGTCTCAATAATACGCTTTCGTATATCCTCATCATTAGCACCGAGAGATGCGAATGCTCTAAATGCGGCTTGTCGCATGTCTTGTGTTAATGTTGCATCTTGTACCTAAAAAACATCAAACACGTCTCTTTATGAATCTCAGATCGACACTAAAATCATAAAATAATTGATCCTTCATAGATTAAATAATTAAAACTCCAAAGACGTAAATATAATTCCTGTTAAGGAAATTATCCATACAATACAGATTATAACACAGTAGATTATATATTCATTAGTAACATATATATATTTGAATAACTTGAGCTCAAATAGGATCGGCAATTTCATGTACTTTTAATATACGTGTATGTATGTACTAAATGCGATTATGCTTACCTGTGGATGCGGTCGTAATAGTTCAGCCAGTGTCGGTATCAGATGATTGCTGATCGAAGCTAAACGTTGTAAATCTGTATCGACTTCGGTAAGATACGCAAGCGTCTCTGCGGCAGCAACTCTTTCACGTGGTGGCCGGTCCCGATGACACAACCTTACGAGACAAGGCAAAGCGCGGTATACAACTCGTGCGTCCGTAGCAGGCAACGCCCCTGCTCTATGCATGTATGCGACGCATCTGGCTGCCTCGAGTTGTATCAGTGAATTTTTTTCGCGACCCATCAATTGTCCCAACGCAGCGGGTACTACTCTAGGTAAAAAAGTGTTGTTATTGGTATTGGCATTCGCCACCATCGCCGAAACCGTTTGGTTTTGGTAACACATATTCGCTAAACAGGCCAAAGCCGGTAGTTGAACGTCAGCTAGAGGAGAATCTAACTGCATTGCTAATGTTTCCACAGCTCCACCTTTGGATAAAGCGTTTTGGTCCTCTGCTGTCTGACAAGTGAAAATTACAGATTAGTTTTCTTCTACTTCACATTAGTTTCTATGGTTTGCAAACTTTTATGTTATCATACCTTACAAGCTGTCGTTAGAATCGTCGCTACGCATACTTGACAAGTAACCGATCGACTAGCCAAAGACAGCAATCGTGGTACTATCGCGGGGTCACGATATATTGCATGAACAGGTGCTGCTGTGTGCTGAAATATCGTACGCAAGCACCGCAGACAGGCCTCGTGTAAAAGATCAGCTATACTCGCTTTTCCCTTTGTAGATACTTCAGGGATTGGTACAGTAAGCATCACGCCAAGAAGAAATGGAATTACACCTAAATCTATGAGTGCTAATACATGTTGGTCTGTTCCTTTGGCTAAAGATCCCAGTGTTACAGCTGATTCCAATCTTATACGATCACTGATAGTACCGCTGGGATCACCAAGCAATTGCAACAGCCGGGGGACGACACCTTGAGCTATTACTGAACCTTTTTGCCGATTGCTGCCAATCACGGAATTTTTCAGACATCTGAGAAAGATCAGCCATATCCAAAATGTTATAATTTTCGATAGTTAAATATAAAAGTAGACTTAATTCATTATATGATACATATATAATATATATATATATATAATATGTATGTGTATATATATATACATATATATACACATATATAATGAAACATGGGAGGGGCAAGAGACATTGAGACAAAGATATAATGTGAGAAAGACAGGAAAAGAGGAGATATAATTTAAGAGATAATATAATAGAAACAGTAATATTATATATGTAATAAGATATAATATAAGGAGCACATTAGAAGTTTTTTCTTTTAGATTAAACAAGACAGTAAAATTCACTGCAACGTTATATCGTTCCTCAATCTATCCTAGATATAATCTATCCTATAGAATATATTATTCCCACTAATTGATGATGACAGGTCGGTGCTTCTGAGCAAGTTAAGGTTAAGCACAATCTTCACTCACATAATCGCTTCCAGACATTTCTGCTGATCCGGCGAGTAGAGTTCGTCGATATAGCTCCTCGAGCTCTCGATGTCCTGTAAAGATCGCGAGAACATCATGAAGTAATTTCGCCTTACGGGCAGAGTAAAGCAAATTGATGTAGACTTGATGAAATGCGTCTGTTGGAACGTCAAACGGCAGTGGACCGGTATCAGATCCCGACATCGGACTCACCATAAACGGCTGCATAACCGATACCATGAGTACTTTGATAGATGTTATCACATAAATATTCCGATAACAAGACGCTCAATCTTGTCAGCCTGTTAACAGAAGAACTGCCACGAGGAACCGTCAAATCCTGTGCTTGCGTACTACGTACGAATGTTCACGACTGGATTCACTACGCTCTCGCGTTCTAAAATAAGCTCGCTATTTGTTGTCAGTAGTGCCAACATTTTTAACGATATCCAAAGTTTGTTCTCTCTATTTGCACTTGCTACATCCACTTTGTTCCTTCCTCCTTCCTAACTCCAAGGAACACGAATATATATTTTTTTTCACGTACTGCTTTATTTCACTTGAAATGCGAATAATATGAAAAGTATCAACTAGGAAATGGGTAGATCTATGAATACAAAACAAGTTTTTCTAGTAGCGGCTATTTTCAACCTAGCAAGTTGGGAAACTGAAAACTAGTGATCAGATGAAAATGAGTGCATATGTGTGCAAATATGTGCATGTAGCGATAAAGAGGTCCCGGACCAATGGGAGTAAATCATGCCAATCAAGGCCTGGCAGATATTTAAATTGAAGTCATAGGTTGCAATTGTGACTCAACAGTTATTCTTTAATTTGTTTTCTTAGGATCAGTGTTTTTTACAACCGCGAACATGATGAATGATAAAATATAATCAATCGCTAAAGCAGTTGAAAATAAATTTACTTCAGTACAAACAGCGCTCACACAAAAGACATGACGAATCTCCATAATGTTGCATAGTGAGATCGCGCTGCTTCATAACCAATGACGTGGATCTAGGTTAGCTTTTTCCGCAATCGCCACAGTTATCGTGCAAACAAATCAAATTGTCGAATATATCGTGTGTTTTTCTCACAAAACACTATTTGTAAATAATGTTCGAAATTACAGATACACAAAGTAAGTACAACAACCTAATATTCATCGACTTCTATGTGAAAAAGCCGGTGAATATATAAGACGACTAATAAATATTGCTAATTTAACTGTAACAATTTTTAAACAATAATTTTATTGTGTTTTAGAGATCGGAGTAGGATTGGCAGGTTTTGGAATTTCCTTCTTGTTCCTTGGTGTATTATTACTCTTTGACAAAGGTTTACTTGCTATTGGAAATGTAAGATTGTCACATCTGTCACTTATTCATTTGTTTGTGGAAATGAATTTCTGAAGCAATTTTTTGGGGTTAACTTACAGCTTCTATTTATTTCGGGTTTGGCATGTGTCATTGGACCATGGAGGACTTTAAATTTTTTCTTTCAAAGGCACAAAATAAAAGCTAGTGCCTCGTTCTTAGGAGGTGTTTTTGTGGTCCTTATGGGTTGGCCTATTATAGGAATGATTTTAGAAACCTATGGTTTTGTACTGCTTTTCAGGTAAGATGTATTGGACTTAATATTGATGAATTTTATATGAGAACTACCTTTACTATCCATATTAATTATCCATATTCCTATTATTCTAGTGGTTTCTTACCAGTAGCAATAAATTTCTTACGAAGAGTACCTGTATTGGGAACTATACTAAACATGCCTGGTCTCAGTCGAATTTTAGATATGATAGCAGGTGATTCTAATAGAACAACTGTATGATAAGAATATTCATATCTTTTGTAACATGTATATAAGATGTTCTCCCATGTGGTGTTCCATATCTTCTTTTTGTCATTTTCACTTTAGTATATCATTTGTCAAGTACAGATCTTTGTACAGAAATGTAAAACTAATTTATATCTTACAATGTCAAGTGTAAGAAAATATCGACAAGTCTAGTACAATTAATTTGTAAACTTACAAAGAAATTAATATGATTTGTATGCTGTCTGATTACATCAAGGGTACATTGAATTATGCAAAGCATTCCATATATCTCTTGTATAAATGAAAATGAGATAATCTGAACTTTGTTAACTTTCTAATACTGTGATCTATTATCAGTGAAGGTAATATGGCCAAAACTGTACCCTTGATCAGGTATATAATAAATGTTTACAATAAAATAATAAATGGATGTATATGTGTCATGTATCAATAAGACTTTTTACATATTCAAATCAAAAGATGTATTACCTTGTACAAAGACCTCTAAGTTACCAAAGAAACTAGCAGGTAATCACCACAAACACAAAATGTCGGATCAATATTTACTTTGAAAATTATGATACATGTATACCTATTTTACTTAAAAATCTAATCTAGAACATGCATAACTAAATTTATGGTTATTCCGATAAGAATTCGATCTGGGATATGCTATAAAAGTTAACTCAAAATTCTTCCTTAAATTAAATTCTCAATTTTGGGAGGAATAAGATTCTGAGAGAGAAAGAGAGAATGTATGAAATTTTATATTATTTTTATTGATCTGCTGCTTTCCCGTGTGTGCATGCATCCTAACATGAACAGATTAGATGCACACATTCTGAGTAACGTTTCTTGTCTTACACATACTTGTCTGTAGTGCGAAATTAAATTATCGTCTATCAAAGCTTGATAGACCGGCTGATATCATCAAAAAATGAAAGTTTATTAATTACGAATTATGAATTATCTACAACGGGCCGAGATTAAAGGCGGGGGGCGGCCCAAGCTACGCACCCCGTCGCATCGCCGTAATGACGTCGTCGTCGCGCGTCCGCCTCTCTCACTGACTTCACATGCGCTGACTCGGATTTCTCTAGGCAATTATACTTTCGATACTCAATATTGCAATCGAGCTACTCGGTGTTTATGGAACGTTTTCAGATGACCGTGATCACGATTGTTGATCATCGCAGCTTGTCCTAATTCGATTTGCCTTCTGTTTTTCTCAAGTGTAGTGTAATAAGAAAATACAGCACGTAGTCTGGCAGTCGCTGCGGGAAAATACTGAATCCGGCAATAAATTAAGCAGATTCTCTTCTTTCTATGCTTTTTTTCTTTTTTTATCTTTTTCTCAGTTACAATTTCTGCCGAGTTTCATGCATTTTACGAGCTGCTACCGAACGTCCTCAGCCTGAATTACTTGTTCGTTAAAACCGACAGCGAGTCTCATTGCCCGTCGGTCCGGGATTTGCTATCAAATCGGATATTCCGGGTAATAATGACGATGTTTGTGATCGGTGAAAGTAATGAGACGAGGATCGCTTTAAAATTTTAAAGAAGGTTCTTAATCTCGTCGTACAGTACGAGTACGAGCGCACCACCAGTACCACGAAGAATATTGGAGAACGCGCCCTTGAAGAAGGCATTACCACCCTCCGTCTTATAAATAGTGGACCAGCAATGAAGAGTGTTTTTGTACAGAATTTCGCTCTTAGCACGACCAGACTGCATCATCATACGTCTACGTACTGTATCAAATGGATAAGATACAATACCCGCAACAGTAGTTACAGCCTGAAAAAGATAAAAGAAAATAGGTGAAGTTACTTGAATTTGTATAAGTGACTTGTATACATGACTTTATATAAAACTGGTTGGAATCAACTTCTCACCTGAGCAATACCCCATGAAACAAGGAATGGAGTCTTTTTAGGATCTGGTAGCATACCACGAGCAGTGTCATAGAAACCAAAGTAAGCAGCACGATAAATGATGATACCCTGGACAGATACGCCGAAGCCACGGTATAGACCAGTGATACCGTCGGCCTTGGAAATCTTCGCTAAACAATTAGCCAACCCCGTAAATTCACGCTCGCCAGTACCCTTGCCTACATCAGCAGCCAACCTGTCAGTAAACAAAATATGAGAATAAGATCAATATATAACTATAAGTGTCAATAATTCTAAGTTTAGAAAAAGTCTCCCATATATTATCCCATATAAAAAAAAAATGTGTCTATTAAGAATGTGGCAATATAATAATGTTCTTTGATTATTTATAAAAATGCAATTTGTAAAATGTCCAAACTAAACAAATTTCATGTAACTTACCTAGTTCTAGCAAAGTCAAGTGGATAGACAAAGCATAGAGATGTTGCACCAGCAGCACCACCAGATGCGAGATTCCCGACAAAGTAGCGTAGAAACTGAGTGTTCTTGTCAACACCACCAAGGAAAATCTGCTTGTATTTGTCCTTAAAGGCAAAATTTAAAGCCTGTGTCGGGAAGTATCTGATAACGTTGGCAAAATTACCACGCCAATAACTTAAGAATCCTTGCTCACGTGGGATACGAACGAAACAGTCGATCATACCTGAAAATTGACATATAAGAGTGTGAACAATTTGTGAAAAGAATTTGTTTCATTTTTTAATTTCTACATTATATTTTATTAATTTAAATTATAATTAATATGTGTATAAAGAGAGGTATTTGCATACTGTCAAAATTTATTATAATTTTATGAATATTCAATCAGTCAATTTATGATAATATTTAGATATAAAAGTGATTAATTATCAAAAGGCAAAGAATTATGGAAAATAACATTCACAAACTTCTTATTAAAAATTAAAGCTTTAGTCGAAAGATGAAAGCTTAAAAACTTATAGAAATGAAATAAATAGTTATGGGTCTGACACCTTGTGAGTAAAATTGAAATATAATTTTGACACGAATTGCTCTACATCAAAATAAAATATTGACTTATTAATAGTAGCGTACAAGGTAACTATTAATTTCAATCATTTTAAAATTTAGGAAGCTTTTTTTAAAGCTTAGAAAAAATAACTATTACCTACATCAATAAAAAGGATTTGACAAATAAATTACAAAATCTTCCCAGTTATCATAGTTTTCTTATCACATGCAACTTGACAATTAACCCGAGATCTACAGAATGTGTGCTGATTAATTTATTAAGAATTTCAGGTCTCTTTTTGATAATTAGTCTGCAAATTATATCGAAGATATTCAAGTTTAAAGTTTAGCCAATATAGAGATAAGGTATAATATTGAATAAAAGTGACACTCCCGGAGATTCTATCTACGATAACCCTGCAGACAAAGTTCAAAGTCAGTGAAATGCAACGACCTATTTAACAGTAATCCGAAAGCAATGATCTCGAGCAGAATCGCCGGTAACATAATGAGTTGAAATCGCAAGTTGTCGCGACAATGACATTTTCCTCGTATTCGAGCATCGAAACGAGATGGTCATCACGACAACGGCGACAAAGAATGAATGATGAATCAGCGTGTTATCTCGATAGACGACATGAATTCGTGACGCGTGGAAGTAGGCGAGAGCGGGAAGGAATTCAGTCTCGTGGCCGACCGAAAAAGCGGCCATGTTGGACCATTCCGTCATCGATCGGGGGCATACACGTCTCTTCGCTGCAGTCGTCAGCGAGGAGCCACTATGCGCCGCCCGCCATCTGGCTGAACGATGAGTTTCATTGAAATATCGATCCATCCTCGAGCGGTTGCCGGCGAAGGCTTTCTTCACGCTATATGCGATCAGTCCGTGACGATCGAAATAAAGTTATGTAAGTCGCCGAAACGGCTCTGCGCGATCGACCTTCGTTACATAAATGCACAAAATATCGATATTCACTTCGTCGCCGCGTGGCGCGCTCGCGGGATACACGAGGCGCCCTGGACGTTGGTCCGCTAACGGCATTACATAACGGTCATCACCGTGTCTAATCATTAACCCGTCGAACGGGAGGAAAAGCCGCCGTAGCTCATTGTTCACATAGGAACCACCCTATGTGAACTAATAAGAGCACTAGTGGCACATACTCGAGATCACGCTCTTTCTGGCTATTGTCACATGTCTTGTCTGAAGCTGTGACGTAGAGAGCCATCGCATCTCGTGGCTGTTCACGTTACTGCTCTTTTTACGCCACAAATTCGCGTTCCATTGTATTACGATGCCTCAATTGCCATGACGCTATGCGCGCGTGACGTGCGGTCGGTGCTTCTCCTGTGACCCTGGGACTCGTGGAAGACGAGGGGCGATGAAAGAAAGAGAGAGAGAGAAAGCAAGCGGGCGGAGATAGAGAGAGAGAGAGAGTGAGAGAGAGAGAGAGAAAGATGGAGGTAGAGGAAACTCCACTTACCCTTGTAACGCTGATTCTCGGCGATTTGCTTGGAGATGTGCTGTACTTGTAACAGCAACTTCACACGCTCGATAGGCGCTACGGTGGTCTTGGAGATCGCCGCGGCCACACCGCCAGCAATGAAATCCTTGGCGAACGCCACAGGGTCCGTTAATCCAGACATTGTGCCGTAGGGTGGTGTGCGAGAGATATGGGTAAAGGAGAGCGAGAGAGAGGAACAACCGGACTCCTTTCTGCGATGTGTATCGGACGCGCGCCGGACGACGAGTGATCGAGCCACAGTATTCCGTTCGTCTCGTTAGAACGGACCTCCGCCAAGAATAGAAAGAGACGCTGGCGCAGGGGTCACGTGTACTATTCTGCGCAGCACCGGAGCGCCGTCGCCGCTGGTAACACGGTACACCAGTAACCTCGGGACCGTGACACTCTCGGCTGCCGTGGCACTCTTGAACCTCGTCGCCAACGCTTCCGCCCGAATTCACGACCTTTTGCCCTGACGCGACCGTTGAAAAGACGACCGAATTGTCTTTCGCGCGGCCGCCGCCTCTCGCCAATTCCACGTTCGAAAGGAACCGCCAACTGTCGGGGACACGGCGACACGCTCGCATCCGGTTTCCGGTTCTTATCCGTGGACCGCCGCGCGATCATTTTCGCTAATACCCGAAATTACGAACACGATGGCGGGAAAACTCTCTGCGCGACGAGGAATTCTGGTATTTCTTCTCCCCCCCTCCCCTCCCCAATATCTAACTATTTCGTGTTGTAAACAGACACGCGTTTGTAACTGACACGCGCGATTTAAGATATAGGTGTTTACCCAGGTGGAGAGAATAATCGAGAATGAAGAATATTTTGTCGAATAACCTCTAAATGGGACGGAATCCTATGATGAAAAATTGCTTCTCTCTGATGTCTCCGTATACAAAACGTACGTTTTATTAATATTAATTTATTAATATTAATATCTTAGGTGGTTTTGACAGCAATGATTTAAACGCTTAAACAATAATGAATTATTATCGTGTTCTCTCTCTCTCTCTCTCTCTCTCTCTCTCTCTCTCTGTCTTTCTCTCTGTCTTTCTCTCTGTCTTTCTCTCTTTCTCTTTCCTATCTTATCTTAACCCTTTTCGTAAAAATGGCAGCCAACTATGAGGTAACCACGTGACGTGCATGAACATCCCTTTACGTCTGAGTCGACCGAGTCCTCGGTTGTGTTTCAAGGCGGTCGGACATTTTGGCTCGCTCGCGCGGGTTTTGTCAAGAACGAGACGCAAGGTCAATTCTTTATCGAAGAAAGAGGTCAACGAGGGACGCGTCGCTTGCGTAAGCCTGGCTTAGGGCCATAGAGTTGCGGAGGAGTCGCGCGCCAGTTCAATGGAGTAACATCAAGGTACAGGATGTATTTATATACGCGCTTGAGGAGAGGAACACGCGCGCGCGCACGCACGGCGAATCTTCCGTTCGCGGAATAGACGTTGCTAAAAGCAGCTGTCCAATTTCGTCTACGCACGCGGTACTACACGCGGCGTGGATACCGAAGATTACGAAGCGAAGATTCAGCAGCGTCTGCCTGCGCGTCCAACGATCTTTCCGTGTATGCCGGGGATACCCGCGATAACTTGATAACGTTTGAATATACTTGACATTGTTCTTCTGCTCGATAGATCTTGAGGGAATAGATAGATCTTGAGAATAGATAGATCTTGAGGCAAAATGATACATAGGTCGAAGGATCTTGGGCCGGTTGTTCCAGCTTCTTGGTAAGTTAACTGAATTAAATCATATGTTTATCTTTGTTTTTCCTCCAATTTAAACGAAGACATACGATTGAACTATCAGTTATAACTTACCAAGAAATTGGAACAATCGGTCCTTGGAAAAATAGATTTACCAGCAGGTTTGGATTCGCGTTGAAAAGATCGGCGATTGACGTCTGGTGTCACTCGTTAATTCTCAATATTGCGTTTCGTGGCAAGCAAAAAACACTTTCGACGAACAAAAGCTGTAGGATAAGGTTGATTTGGATGAAATTAATTGAAGAACAATAACCCGTTATCTTCTTTCGTTTATCGTTCACGTTTCACAGATTTGATTCGAAGATAATATTTATTGCTGTGTGACACTCGTCGACGGATTCTTCGTTATAGCTCTCATTATCTGACCACGATCTGATGCATATCAACGTACTTCCGGTTTGGCGGCCGGAATAAGTATTCTCACTGAAGAATGATGAATATTACGCTCTAAATGACGAAGTAAAAATGGGAAAAACGTGGAATGAGAAAGCGTATACGTAAATGATAGTGGTGGAAAAACCGACTGTTTTTTCCGACATGAACCATGCTTTTAATATCAAAGTATAATTTACATGAAGGAATACAGTATTTCGATTGAATAGTATTTCAGAATAAATAGAACAATATTTCAATTGATCAGATTACAAAAATTACATTGTAAAATGTTTATGATTGATTTATGATTGCTTATGATTGATTGAGAAGATAAAATTAAATTTAAAAAACAAGAAGAAATAAAAGAAATAAAGAATAAATATAACAAAAAACATGTAACGAAGATATGTATCGCAAATGGAAACTTGCGTCTTATTGATACTGATGTCATTATAAAAGTCGTTATTACTAGTTACAAAAATGATAAAAATCGTTATAAAAATTGGCAAATACAACGTATGTTTATCTTGTCTGATTTTAACGTAAAACTGACAGCCAGACTAACGAAATTCGATAAAAATATTGTAGGTGTCGATGCCACTCCAACAGTTTTGGAATTACCGTTGATAGAAGTTGATGAATAAGGCAAGAAGGAAAAACTTCTCAACGTTTGAAAATTACGAAGATGAGAAACACTCGAAACGTTCTTATTAAGTCACGATAAGATTCCTTTCCGATAAGATGGAAGTCTCACGATAAGAGCGACAAATATTCACAGAGTTATCTGCGGATATGCGCTCGCGTGCATAGTTCGTAAGAATGCAATCGGATATATGTCGGCGTTAGCAACTGTGGCTCATTAGATATCAGACCCGGACTCGGGGTCTTGAATGCCGTATATTGGATATAAGTGATGCGCGCGACCTTGGTGATACGAAGTGTCGCACAGCTACGTAACTGCAAGTTCTGATGGTCAATGCACCTGAGAGGTGTTTGAAGCCAGTTTTATTACCATTAGAAGCTCGAGGTCGCGTGCACCGCGTGATTGCAAAATGCTTGGGTGACACGTGGCGTACAAAACGAAAGACAAAAAAGGTCATCGTCGTTGTCATTGTCATTGCGAATTTCGATTCGAGCATAATATTATCGAGAGAAATCATGCCTTTTTCTTACAACACATTTAAAAAATCGTTACTTTTATCAGGTTGCTTTGAAGATGTGTTATATTTTTAAATAAAATTAGAAACGTTCAAATTTCTTTTTATATTTCGACATAACTCTTATTAATACAATAATACATGTAGTCACTATTAATTTCAATATATATTTTATACTTAAAGAAGTTTTTTTGTTTTTACATAACAGTGTAAGAAAATACTTCGAATATTTTGCTATATTTAAAACAGTATTTTATAAAAAACCGATAAGTCCTTTTTTTATTAATCTGATACAAAAGAATCTTTTGTGTTTTTTTAATCTTTATCAACAGTGTAAAATCTTTGTCAACAGTGTAAATTGAAAAATTTTTAGTTAAATATAGATTCACGACTGCTTTAAAATGGATTAGTTGGTTGCTATCGACTCGTTGGCTGTCCTTGACATTAAGCTAGATGTATATATGTAGAGAACTTTTAAAAAGAAATATATGAACGTAACAGTCTTATATAATATATATTTGAATATTTACACAATTATGGACATATGAGATTTTGTTTTTCTCAGACATGTGGGCGGATAACGTAATATTTCATATGAATATTTCTTTTTTATAGAGCTTTTTTGCTCATTATATTAAGTTTATTGGAAAAAGTATCACAGCTAGAGGTTTACAGCTATATACAATCACATAAAAATAAATTCGCGTAAAAATAAATGTGACGTGTCAGTGCCACTGTTTAGTCGCATAGCTTTGCTTTGATATATCACAATTCATATATCTACACGATATTTATTCTATAATAAACAAAATATCATGCATATATATGTACTATTACAGCTGTAGATAAATGAACTTCGCGATACATTTTTCAAATGTAAAGTAGCTTTTTATTCTATATCAGCTGGAAATAATGTTTGATTTTTACTGTAGTTTTTTATATTATAATATCAAGTATGTTACATTTATTTAGACACACGCACGATAATAGAATATCCTTCCTATTTAAATATTTGATTATTCAAATTGCCATGGCGCGAGAAACTCTGTTGGTATGGCATTTGATAAGCTAAAATATAAGGCAAGTTCAACGCTATCTAATGGTACTGCTCTGATAAATGATAGTAAAGAGAATTTAAAGAGCCACTTGCAATAGGAATAATTAAGAAACTTCTTCCTTCTCTTCGAGAAAAGAAAGAGAATTAGAGAGTGAGATAGAGAGCTTCTCATAGTAGTTCCTTCTATTTTGCTAGATGGTGCGCAGTGCTTCACTTCTAAGTTAAGAGTGTATCGTCTGACCGGGATCTGTCGACGTGCTATCAAGAATGCTTTAAATCGTACATATTTTACGACGAAGTATTATATTTCGTCGTGTATGTGAATTGCGGTGAAATTGCTGAGACATCAGTGATATCGGTGCAGATTTACAGTGAGTATTTTTGTGATTTTGACGCTTTGTGTGAGCATGTGTGACATGATGTACTCCCCCATCTCCCCCACCCGCAAGTTATGGCTCCGTGCAGCGCGTATTTTCATATAGCTGCGCATTAATTAAATAATTGACCCATGTAATTATCTTGAATACGAATTGCGTCGTAATATACTTTTTCAATTTAATGCTTACATTTGAATGTCACGTTACACGGTCTATAAATTACGATTGAATTACGCTCAGAGTAACTAATATTTTTAATATACTGGTTATATGCAAAATTATTATACGAGTAATAATTTGTTGATGTAAAAAAGATCAGTGCTGCAGTGAAAAGTGATAATGTGAAGTCTATTTGATATCTATTTGTTGTGATAATGTGAAGTCTATGTGATATCTATTTGTTCTTGTTTCTATGAGAGATGGATGTTAATTTCCGTGTTACATGTTATATCAACATTATCTCAAGCCTGTTGTAACAAGGTTGAGAAATAGTGCAACTGTTTCAGATGTAATCATACTACAGTTATGCCATGATGCCATTCATTATAAATGTTACCTGAAGAGAAGGCAACAATCAACAACATGACGGAAGGTTCGTTAACTTATATATTTTATAAAGCAACAAATTTGGAAATTAACAATGTACATATATCATAGGTGCAGAAACTCAACCAAACACGGGCAATGAGGCTCAAGCAGGTAGATCATTACTTTATTAATGATTTATAAATATACATGTTTCTTACCTATTGCATATAACTATATAAAGTTGACCGTCAAGCCTGATATAATTGAATTAGTGTTCATTGTAGGTATCTGTTATGTTACACAATAAGGCTTCATTTTTTAGCCTGTTTCTTTATTCAGTGTTGTTACTTCATTAAATAAAATACTAAACTAAAAACTTCTCTATATTATATTGCAGTTTAACCAGTAATAATATAAATATGTAGGCAGTTATAACAAACTTGTTATAACAAACAAAATTATTAACTTATAAAATAAATTAAAAATATCTTAGATATTCCTTTTACATATTATAATCAAAGTTGTTTAGAATATAAAGAAGAAAGTAATTTTAAACTAAATATAAGTTTTGAACTTATATTGCGCTTATATTGTTACTCATATATTTTATAGAAGCCTTAGAATCCAGAGCAGCACACAGTGAAGGATTACACGAGGGAACGGCTGAATCAACATTACAAGCTACCCTTGAGCCAGTGCAAGAGTTACTCACAGTTCATGGAACTACACAGGGAGAAAGCAGTGATGCTGTTAGTATTTACACTGCCAGTACTTCAGTATCCGGCAATGGTAAGTTTATATTATTAATATTTTATAAACTCTAATACTAACCATTAATATACATGTCTTATAAATAAAATTAACACACAAGTATCACTATTATTTTTTAGAATCAAGTTCAAGTAGAGTCAGTGCAATAACTGTGGTACTGCCGTGGGGTGCCCAAAAGGAGACAGTAAAACCACAACAAATAGGAGATATGGATTTGAGACCAGGAGAATATGTAATGCGTATTCTATTCGCAGAATTTACTTCGCAGGCTGAAAAGAAGATGGAGGCTGTTATGACAGAGCATGTAAGTATTGGTTGATTAGTTACTGTCTATAGAATATCGCTAAAATATATTACTTATAGGAAAAACAATTATCGAAAGTTTTACAAAGAGGGGAAGATCCACAATTTGATCAACTTTTATCAGCTTTTGGTTCAGTTGCCGAACATTGTCTCCCATCAATATTGAAAGCTCTATTCAATTGGTATGAACGTCAACTCGTAGATCAAGGTGGCGATCAAAAGAAACCTGGGAAGGAAGACCAAAAGGGAAAAAGGTAAGAAGATAGAAATATATGGTAATACATATCTTACAAATATTAATAATATATTGTTTCAGCATTATGTATACAATAGTATCAGGAAGTGTAGAAACAGTCGAAAGAAGTGAAGCGGACTTGTTGCAAGAACGCAGAGATCTTGCTGTCGAATTTATATTTTGTTTAATGCTGATTGAGGTTTTACGTCAACTACCATTTCATCCTGGGCATGAAGATTTAGTAACCTACATAGAAAATATTGCTTTCAAACACTTTAAATATAGAGAAGGGTAGATAAAATCTTGTTTATTATAATGGAAATTAATACAAAAATATAACATATCTAATTCTTATATTTTTTCAGCATACAAAATGAACCAAATGCAGCTAATATTCATATTATTGCGGATCTTTATGCTGAAGTAATTGGAGTTTTGGCACAATCCAGATTTATGTCTGTGAGAAAGCGATTTATGGTGGAGCTGAAGGAATTACGTGCTAAAGAGCTAGGTCCCCATACTACGCAGAGTATCATATCCCTTTTGATGGGGATGAAATTTTTCAGAGTTAAAGTAATTATTTTATCTAGCTCATAATATAAAAAAATGTGTCCAGGATTGCTTATTGTATATTTAAAATGTTTGTACTTTTAATCATATGATGTATAAATTTTCAGATGGTACCAATAGAAGAATTTGAGGCATCATTCCAATTTATGCAAGAATGCGCTCAATATTTCTTAGAAGTAAAAGACAAAGATGTGAAACACGCCTTAGCTGGTCTCTTTGTCGAAATATTGGTCCCTGTTGCTGCTGTGAGTGTTTCAAGCAAATTATTTTCGCATCTAAATATTAACACAGCTAATTATACCTTACATTTCAGGCTGTAAAAAATGAAGTGAACGTACCATGTCTGAAAAATTTTGTAGAAATGCTATATTCGACGACGCTGGATATGTGTACAAAATCCAAGCACAGGCTTGCACTTTTTCCTCTAGTAACCTGCTTACTCTGCGTTAGCCAAAAAACATTCTTTTTGCAAAATTGGCATTATTTTTTAGCAATGTGTTTGTCCCACTTGAAGAATCGTGATCCGAAAATGTGCCGAGTTGCGTTAGGTACGATTCAAATACAGATTTATATATTACTTTTTTAAGAATGTGAACATATACTTTATATTTATGCGTTATATATGTTGCAGAGGCTTTATACCGTTTACTTTGGGTCTACATGATACGAATCAAGTGTGAGAGCAACTCAGCCACGCAAAGCAGATTACAGAGCATAGTGAATTCCTTGTTTCCCAAAGGATCGAAAGCAGTGGTGCCACGAGATACACCGCTAAATATTTTCGTTAAGATCATCCAGTTCATCGCACAGGAGAGACTGGACTTTGCGATGCGCGAGATAGTGTTCGACTTGCTGTCTGTCGGTCGACCAGTGAAAATAATCTTAACTCCTGAACGTATGAGCATCGGGCTTCGGGCATTTCTCGTCGTAGCCGACAGCTTGCAGCAGAAAGAGGGAGAACCGCCGATGCCTCGCACCATGGGCGTATTGCCGAGTGGAAACACTATGCGTGTTAAAAAGACGTTCCTGAACAAAGTATGTATAATCCATGCCACGTTATCTTTATGCGTTCATTGAACATAGCATATTTCAAGAATATAAATCCAATATGTTCTCTATATACAAAATGTTAGCACAATTGGCAGCAGATTCAATCGACTGTGTCCGTATGAATGTGTCCTCGCGTTCTGCCAATAGAGCCTGCTGACATAACTTGACTGGATTTGCGACATCGATTTACGATGGAATTTGCAGTATGTTGCATTTAAAAGAATTTAAACGATTACAAAACGACAAAACCTGCTCAGTTTCTGTTGTCGTACTGTGTTAGCAGGTTCTATTGTATCTCTGTCAGCAAAGTGCTGATCAAATTTACAACAGACATTGCGCAAAATCCGCTTCTACAGATTTTACTTTTTTATTGTATTAATGTATTAATGTATTAATTTTATTGTATTAATGTATTAAATGTTTCTGTAACATAGATGCTGACGGAAGATACCGCGCGAAGCATAGGAATGTCGTCGTACTTCCCGCACGTACGTCGGGTGTTCGTCGATATTTTGCGCGCGTTAGACGTTCACTATGGTAGGCCTCTCATGATGACCAGCACTCAGAATATGAATAAAGAGCCGGACGAGATGATCACCGGAGAACGCAAACCTCGGATAGATCTCTTTCGAACTTGCGTCGCCGCCGTACCGCGATTGATTCCCGACGGAATGACCGGTGCTGAGTTGGTCGATTTGCTGTCTCGCTTAACGGTACACATGGACGAGGAACTGCGCGCGTTGGCGTATCAAAGTTTGCAGACTTTAGTGTTGGATTTCTCCGATTGGCGGCAAGATGTCATCCTTGGATTTACACAGTTCCTGGCTAGAGACGTGCAAGATACATTCCCGCAGCTTGTAGACAATGGCCTCAGGATGCTATTGCAACTTCTGACATGTTGGAAGAACGCTTTGACAAGTCCCAGCATTAGATCCAAGGAACAATCAGTGGACAATACACGGGTGAATATACGCATCGATGTTGGCATCAAGAAGTGCGAATCAGGCCAGGTTTGCATTTACACAGAAATAGTTTCAGCATTTGCGCGCGATATGCATGAACTACTTATGTTTTGTTTACAGAAAGTGGAGCCTGTGTCGAATATATTTTATCTGGTGGAAGGATTCGCTCTAGTTATGCTTTGCAATTGTCGCCTTTATCCTCGACGACTAGCTGTTCATATACTTCGCGAAGTTAAACTTCTATTGAAGACTTTGGGTAACCATATAGTTACATAGATTATAAGAACATTATATAAATGAATGTATATTTTACGCGTGTCTCTTTCCTTCCTAGGGGGACCAGAGGATGACCAGCTTGTTATCGATGTAATCGACGCTTGCTGTCCCGCTGTTTTAGAAAAGTGCTATCCCATGCTGCCGCCAGCTGAAAAAGCGGCCGCTGCGTCTACGTCTAATGTGGATCTACAATGGATAGCGGACAGAAGTAGTTGTGTTTGGACAGCTGGTAATACTTTGTTTTATTACATTCTTGATATACACGACGTGTGTCATGTTTATTTATATATATTTTACGTTATAGGATTTCATGATGAGAACAGCACCAAGAGTTCTTCGTCGCTTAATCTAAACGGCGCCGATCCGTGGGCCAGTTGCTTATTTGCCTTCCTAGAAAAGGATAGAGTACTCACGCTATGCCCGAATGCCGTGGCTCACTCGTGGCCCATCGTTTTTAGTCGCATTAATTCTTTGTTTTCAGTGGTAGACCCTACGTAAGTTTTTGTAATCGCTCAATCAATATTCTCATAATTGACACTTGAATTTTGTAATAACTTAAATCGGTTTTCTTGCACAGTCCAGTAAATGACAACCGAGCTTCGTTATTAAGAAGTTCTACCACAGTGAGAAAGCCAGTGAATGAGAGAGATGTCTATATGCATATTTGGAAGAATTATCTGACTTTTGGATACAGAGTTGTGCCACCCGTGCCGAATCCAGTAGTTCGATGCGCTAGTCCAGATCTCAGTCTCAGGTAGGTCGGCGTATACAATACAATGGTAGTTTCAATATCATATTGTTCCATCATATTATTATTTAATTTTTCGATATTTATCTTAATGAATTATTCATGCTTATTATATATCACTCGATAAAGTACATGTAAACGTGTGCATTGATTCGCTGACTAGCTGCAATTACATTGGTAGCAGACGTATTATAAGGTGCAGCTGCACTGACGAAAATTATGCACACGGCTTACGTTTACATTAAATTCAATAGAATATTCTGATCAAATTCTCCGGATATTTAAAAAAATTTATGTTTAGCTGAATAATATATTAGAGCTTTAAATGTATATTTTTTTTAAATGCAAGTCACCGAATAGAATCAATATCATTTGGTATTGATTGGTGTTGGGTCATATGCATATATTGGTTCAGAAACGCTAATTGTTCACTTCTTTG